AATTAATTCAAATAATATAATATTGATTTAGTGTTGTAGTGTGTGTGCTGCTTTATTTTATATGTGTACTTATTTCAGTCAATTTGTGTTTCTTATGCAGAAAAAAACAAGCAACGACAACTACATGGGGAACAAGACACTCACCCCCCAGCAATGCATACCACTTACAAACTCTATTCTAAACATGCTGGTAAAAGACATGAGGCCACTATCCATGGTGGAAGGAGCAGGCTTCCAGCTAATGCTAAAAAATTATTCAGGACTGATATTTTGCACTGTTTAGCTCATTTTACACTGCTGACTGTGTTCATGTGCAATAAAATAGATTGCAGTCAACTGCATAAATCTCTTATGTTTTTTTTCTTAACTGAAATGCATTAATCACTTGTATAGGTTAAATAGCTAAACAATAACAAACCGATTAATCAAAAAAATAATCGACAGATTAATCGATTATGAAAATAATCGTTTGTTGCAGCCCTACGTAAGACAGTCAGAAACATTATTAATGTTGAAGACACTATATTCTGTCAAAGTATACATCATTCAGGGGAAGTATTAAGAAAGCAGTTGTGAGACTAAGTGACGTTCAATGACCAAAAGAAATGCTGTTTAACAGAGCTCTCGAAGAGACCCCAAAGGGGCATAAATTACAACGCTGAGGAATTTCTGCTGCATTTTTGACATCAAAAATTTAGAAACAGCGTTCTCAACACATTGTCAAGGCTAGTGCTACCACGATTTGTCACAATGACGTTGGCAAACTAAATCATTGACAATAAATTTAATAATCAATGTTTTTCATTCTATGAAGCACTGTTTTTCATCTTGCCTGCTGCAGCACCTTCGGATGATTTCTGCCCTTCTGTTTGAAGCACATCAGCTGTCGCGTCACCGGAAGAACAAGACATCGTGATGAGCAGTTAACATAATTGAAATGTTTGGGAGCATTTTACAAAGATAAGAGAACCACGTGCAGTGCAAAATCAGCAAAGTAGAACTCTCTTTCACGAGAGCACAACGATGATGCACGAATACCTAAAAGGAAGCACGTTGTGGTAGAGGAGGAAGAGGGACAGTTGCCACTGTAAGCTAAGCTAATTACCTCTCGTTAGCTGCTAACATCAACAGTGAGTTACTCATATTTATAGCTATAACAACAACAGTAGTGACGGCGATTTCATTACCTTTAGCACATGTATGACATGTATTTACTCAAACATTACAAATGCTAATGATAATGCTAATTTATCATATACCTCTATGTTAGTGTTAAAAAAGCACTCCTTCAATTGACGAGTTTGGAAGCAATCAAACGTGCACACACCGGCAAATGAGGACCCTGTCACTAGAACAGCTATTATCTTGTCTTTATTTTTAGATTGCAAATAACAGATCACACTTCAAACTCGAAGCTAATGATGTAATGATAAGCTGTACTTTATACATGATGTGATTAATCGCTAATCGCCCAAAAAACTGGTGATTAGTCAATTATCGTATTGACACAAATATAAGACGAGTTTTTTTTTTTTTTTTGGTTGAAAATAAATTTAAAATGTGGGGTCGTCTTATAATCGGGGTCTAAGCATTTACACATGCAGATATTTGTCTGGGGTCATTACACGTCCGTAACAGCAGAGGGCGACAAGCTGTTTGTTCACAACAGGAGAAAAAAAATGGAGACGAGAGGTCCGAAGCAGAGTGGACCGAAAGTTGGGCAAGTTAACATAGTATGGCAAAGTTATGCAAATTTTAAGATGGGTGGTCAGTTCAGCAGAGGTGTCAACATTGCATATATGGATGCCTTGGATGGCAGTGAGGATGACATTCAATGGGAGGAGCTGGCAGGACAGGTGTAGCAATCTGATGGTACACCGGGACCACAGCAGCATGAGTGAGTACAGCAAGGCAGAGGGAAATTGAATTAAAGCCTCATTTGGCTTTTGATTTCACAAGTCAGCAAAGTTCTGATAGTTTGCATGAAAATAGTATTTTTGCTCAGTATTTGTTCTCAAATTTTCAATAAAAATATTTTGTTTAAAAATGTATTTATTTTTTGTCTTTTCCTGAAGATTAGTATCGGGGGGGGGGGGGTTGTCTTATAATCGAAGTAGTCCTATATTCGGGTCAATACGGTATTAAAATAATTGTTTGTGGCAGACCTAGTCAAGACTGCTCACTTTCATTTCCCTCCATTACGCTTCTCCATCAACTCTTCCAATTTTACAAATGTCGATTGTTTAACAAAATCTACTGGTTTCATTTCCCACGAGTTACAACCAATTAGCATGAGTTAACCACAAAGTCCGCCCAATGAATATATACCCCAAGCAGGTACCCGTTTGATTCCTGAAATAGCCCGGAAAGTAGTTCTTCTGAGCCAGCCCAGTAAAACTGAGAAACACATGTATTGTGAAGATCCGTAAAAAATTACTCGGACATTCCGATAGGGGAAACTGGCCTAAAACCTGACCAGAAGCCTAAGATCTGAGCACCCAAAAAATGTTTGCGCAAACAAATGTACGAAAAGTACATCTTTGTTTAGTTTTCTGTACAATAGGCATCAATACATTCAGATTTTCAGTGTTCCCATTTCTTACATCAGGAATATTACAAAAAAACAAACAGTGATTGTTGTAAATATGGAGAAATCTGTCGTGCTTTAGGTGCCCCATGACAGATAACACCTAAAATATAAATAGTTAAATAAAAATGGAACTACAAACTTTGCTTTAAAAATCTGACGCAGATCTTCCTGGGAAGGAACACAAACAGCCTGACACAAATCTTTTCCACTGTTAAAGCTATCCAAAATCGCTCGTTTGACAACACCATTTACTGCCACTGATATCAAGTCACAAAATATTGGGGTATCTGGTTTGAAGCATTCTGTGTCGAACACTTTTGCTGCCATTCAAGCCCAACTGCAAAAGTGCACTATGTGGCTGTAAGTGGCTGCAATTTACGTTGTCATTCGGGGAAGGCGGCAATCACAATGTGTGAAAAGCAGTCATCTTCCAGCCTAAAGCAACAAGTGATTGTATCACAACTCCAGAGGAAAAGTCAGACTTAATGAACACCACTTTGCTGGGAATGAAGTAGTACAAAGCAGACATCTACTTTCTTGTACATGGGCAGCACAACCTGTGTCATGACTAATTTATCACCTCATCATTTGAAAATTTCTCCACAAAACAGCACCATTATTATTTCAATCTACCTTAACAGGCAGAAATATGACATGCTTCTTGCAAACATGATCTGGATCTACATGGATTTTTTCCCCCACAAATACTAAATTATAAAGCTTAATGTTTAGTTTTAAGTCAGTTTACTTGAACTAAATTGTAGATGGCAGGAGCTACAGAGTAAAAATACTACATGTGTGGCAGTTATCTCAGAAAGGAAAGATCCAGGTAATGACTATTGACATGGAAACCCTGCCAGTGGAAGTAAATTAGGCAATTGTAAACCTGCAGGGAAAAAAAGCTGTGACACTTGGCTGACACCTTGGTTGCTTGTAAACAGAAATGCAGCCAGTCCAACTCTCGTGGTTGGAAGACATTTGAGCGCACGCCACGGATCTCCTTCGTTGCTGTTCTAAAACCAGTGGGAAGCTGGGCTGTACCACCACGCTACGTGACCACACCTACTCCATCTTTTGCCTTGGAAAGAGTAGTTACAAGTATAAAAATAAACAACAACAAAAAAGACAACATAACTTCACGTGTAGGTCTATGCTAAAAAGGTAATAAAGCACAGGTGTGATGTTAGGTTTGGTCACAAATATAAAAAAACAAAGGTGGATCTAGATCAGTACAGACAGAATGCAAATTACTGCAGAGGGAGGAAGTGAGCAAACAGTGCACACAAAGTGCTTTCAAAAATACGAACGAGGACTAGATAATAACTACAAAGATGCATCGCTTTTAGTGTATTCTTCATGTTTTGATGGGGCGTGCAGATATATCTCCACTTAAGGACTTATTTCAAAGCTATACAATTAAATTTAGATAAAAATCACAATAAAATAGCCCCCAAAAACTGTGGTGTTAGTGATCGACCCGTTAAATGAGCAAAGAAGGCTTTTTCTGCAGCCTTCTATTAGAGTCAATTATAAATGGCCGAGAGGAGAGGAACTGGGAACCAATCAGATCGCAGCTCGCATGTCAACCTAAGACCAACTGTCTCCTGGCTCTGACAGCAGGATTTTACCTCCATAATTCAAATCCCAAAGCAAAGGCAATCTGCACTTTGACAACTCTCAACCAGCGTGTTTAACTACTGGTGGCACAATTTCAGGAAAATAAGCACAAAAAAGCAGATGGGGGAACAAAAGGGAGGCGAACCGAGCCACTAGGAATGAATCATCCTGTCAAAGATGAAGCATTATCTGATCACAAATCGCACTTTTTTGACGCAAGCAGACGGAATTATGAGCAAAGAAGCGGCTTTCAACCCAGCCCGGTGGAACGGTCTATTCCCCGGCAATTATGCAAATGTTATTTAACGGGCATCAGTCATTTGCATCTTGTTTATTGCCCTGAAAGGACCAGTGAGGAAATTTAATGGTATCAACACAAAAAAAAAAAACGTTTGATGGCGTTTTCTCACAGAAATTGAGCAGCGATGCAATCCAAACATAAGGCTAGAAGAAAAAAAACTCATTCTCCGCTCTCTCTCACACACACACACACACACACACACACGTTCTCCTCACTAACTCTTGATCTACTTAGTCAAACTCCTGCCCTGTACCAAGGAGGGACACACACCGGCTCCCACAGCTCTTGGGATGGGTTCTTGCGGCACACGCGGCTTCTTTCTCCGAGTAAACACTGTTGTAAGGGTGGTATTGAGAGGAAAAACAGAGGCAGCCATTTTATAGAGCTCCTGCTACATAGACAATGGCTGGTCCAATGCAATATGCAACTGAACACAGCCTCTTCTCGGCCACAGTTTGGCTGAGTGTGCCGGTGTAGTAAATGGGAGTTTACCTGATTCCTGCTGGGTGGTTGTCCGGTGTTTCCCGGGCTCATGGGAGGTGGATGGTGGGTCCTTTGTTGCCAACTCGGGTGAACCCCACCATACTGACTGCTGCCCATGTCCCCTGGTCCCTTGTTGGCCCCTTCCTGATTGTTATAGTCTCCTTGGGGGTAGTTCGGGTAACTCTTAGTAGAGCTGGGAGATGTCAAAAGCTGATTTAAAGTTGGTGTAGACGTAGGCTGTTGATTTCCCATGTTATACCTGTGATTATTGTAAGAGGCAGCCATAGCGGTGGTTCCTCCTCCTGGCTGCTGCTTGCCTGGCTGCCCCCCAGCCGCCGGAGGCTGGCTGTTACGCGGGGAATTCATGGGCCCGTATCCTTGGCCCTGGTAAGAAGTCCTGTTCTGGAAGGGGGTGTAGTTGTTGTAGTTATTGTGATAGCCGTGTTCGTGTGAATTGGGGGGGTAAGGGTCCATCATGCCTGGCCCCGATGCAGCTGCCATGCCAGGGCTTTGTTGTCCGCCATGTTGAGGAAAAGAGCCCCGGCTATAGGGCTGATTGTAGCCGTATGGAGGTGGAGGAAAGGGGCCCTGGTGGTGGCCCATTCCGGGAAGGTTGTTCCCTTCGGGTCCGCCTGTATCATTCTGATTGCTGCTGTTGTTATTTACCCTGGGCAGATTCCCGTTGCTGTTCTTCATGTCAGGATCCCCTCCTCCCCCGGCGTTCCCAGCATCGCTCCCGTCCTGCAGCTCCTTCAGGCCCGGAGATCCCACGTCATGTCCCGTTTCCTTATTTTCATGTTGCTTCTCTCCCGGTACCGACTCCTCTTGAATGTCCCGATCCGGCTTTTTGAGTTCGGGTGGCGGGCTAGTGTTGAGAGTGGCGACCTGAGCGGCCATGATATCCCTCTGTCTCTCTCCACTCTTTCTGTACCTCTCTCAACACGGCGGCTTACTCGCACTCAAACTCCGAATAACCATTGAATATTAATACAATTACATTTGTAACGACATACCCGCTGTCCCGGTTCATTCCTCCCCTTTTCCTCCGGCCGCACCGGTGTCCAATAATCCACCGCGACTCCGTTTGAAGTTAAAAGAGAGAGGGGTAAAGTCTGGCTAAAAGATGTGTAAACACGGAGCCAGAAAAATAAATTTCACCAACACCAGTCAGTGTGTGTACGTGTATGTATGTGTGTGTGTGCGTGTTGGTGGGGGTAAGGGGGGGTTCTGTTACAGAACAAGGGCGCGAGCTAGAAATCAACCAGACCAGCACGAGGCTCCGCGAGACACAGCCATTTTACCGAGCTATCGCGAGAAAACGAAAATCTGGAGCGGAGCAGGAGCGAAAACTGGATCTGGATTGTGCTCTCTTCCACAAAACGATGTTTACAACAAAGGTAGCCAATTTAAAGGTTTAAAAGCCTTAAAACTTTTACAGTAAATAACATTTGGAGTTATTAAAACAACTGGAGACTATTCTATTTGTTTAAAGCTAATGCTAGATGTGGATAAAAGCTGTACGTCTTGTTTTGAATTCAGAATATAGAACATGGCATGGACGTAATTTTTTATTAAGGGACTTGTGCCCCAACTTTTTCAAAAGGCAGTTTAGATCCTTTAATTATTTCTGCGTATCATAACTGAATTAGGTCAAATGTTACGTTATTTTTTAATGATCTAGTGATTAGATATTTTAAAAATGTGTGTAATAACTGGATCCTTGACTCCCCCATCTCTCAAGCCATGTGTGTCCTCCCCACTCTGAATTAAAATAAATTGGAACACTGAATCATATAACTGATTTATTACTATCCAGATCATTAATACTGCAAGTTTTTTTTTCAAAATGCATGTTGTAATTCACAGTTATTTGTTTTTTATTATATATAATACATTAAAACCTTAAGCTTTTATTCCCTTTGCTTTCACACTAAAAGTTGATTATAACTGCTCTGAGCTCAGAGTGAAACAAAAACCGTGTCTGTGCCACATTTAAATGTGCATCTGTTTTTATTACTATCTTATTAGGTGGTGAAGAGTGGAACAAAACAGGCTACAGTGTCATCTTCTATGAGAGAGGGCTAATGGGTGGAAATGACTGCCTCCATGTGTCTGCAGCAGCAAATGAGAGGACTGAGCGCAGCTCAGGAAAGTGGAGGAAAGCATGAAATTACAACCTGTGTGTGTGTGTGTGTGTGTGTGTGTGTGTGTGTGTGTGTGTGTGTGTGTGTGTGTGTGTGTGTGTGTGTGTGTGTGTGTGTGTGTGTGTGTGTGTGTGTGTGTGTGTGTGTGTGTGTGAGAGAGAAAAGACACAGAGTGAGAGAATAGAAAAGGAAGGAGGATGGGCTGGAGGGGGTGGACTGAACCAGTCACAGAGCAGGAAGTGAAGACAGAAAATGAGAAACAGTGTTGAAAAAAGAGACTGCGTATAGGTCAGTGAAATGAGATGCACTGTGTATTATTTTAGGTGGATTTGAGTGTGGATTGATTTTCATCAATCCACACTGTTTTGGGTGAAAAATAAAGATGCTCTGTATAGTAAGAAGGGACAAGAACTTAGTCCCTCCCTCCCCAACCCCCTTTTCATCGTTCTCTGTCTTCCTGGTGCTCTGCAAGCAGCAGCAGCCCTCATGCTCCCTTCACGGGGTGTTGGTATTTTCTAATTTACCCCATGAGCCACATATAAATGGCTCCTACAAAATGAAGTTGCTAAATAGAAACAAAAAATACATATATATAAACAATTTACTCTGTTTTTAGAGAAATGGCACCGCTCACAGGCAGAACGTGTCATTCAGAGAAGGTTTTCATTTAATCCTTGAGGTCAGAATAAAAAAAAACAATTTTGATCTTAAGACAACAGATGCATTTGTAAAGGCTGCAACAAAATGTTCTTGGAGCACGTTCAATGATATCATGAGAAAAAAATTGAGGAAATACAAGTGCCATTATGTAACTTATTTATGCACTACATACATAAACCACACTTGGGTTTATTCATTACTACTGAATTTTGAGCCACACCTGTCTGAGGCTGCAGTCAAGCAAAATGATCCAGACATTCATCTATCTTAAAAAATAAAGCAAAAAATATTGTGTTACTATAATATAATAATACATTTTTGGGGTGATAATAATTAAAATTTCACTTTCATTCATAAATCTTATTTTTAAGAATATTAAAATTTAATTGTTGATTTTTTTTTGTTAAGATCGGTGCATTTTTCGTTAGGAAAAGTGAAATAAAATGTACTCTAACCAACTGATAGATCCGACAGTTAAAGAGTTAAACTAGTTAGAGGGGATGCTGTTGGAATGGTGAGTTTAAGTTGGTCAGTTTGGTGTAAAATTATCCATCTATTTGGACGGCAAGGGTGACTTTTAACTTGCTATAGTTTTCAAGGGTCATGATGTTATGGCTGATTGATGAACACACACTGTGAATATTCAAACTGGCATTTCAAGGGTTAAAATCCTCAAAATGATCGACATTTTTATAAGTTTGAGCAGGGCTGAAGTTGCTCAACAGATCTATGAAAATATATATATAAAAAAATAAATTAATTAATGTCTACATTTTTTACAGCCACTTTTACCAGCGGACATTTTTGTCCTCTAAAGTTTCAAGAGTATAGTAGGGTTTTTACATAGTGTTCCTTTGGTCTATTTTCAAAATTCCAAATTGAATTTCAAAATTTGTCCAGAGAGAGGTTTTATGACAAAATGTTGTACCATATACACAAACAGTGGTGAAATGGCATCAGAAAGAAAAGCAAAAAACTGCCAAAATGGACAAAAATATCCCTACTGAAGCCTGAGGGTTAATGTTTCTGTAAATAACTGTTGACAAAAGTGTTAAAATGTCTAAAAATTTCATATGAACGAGTGCGCTCTGACTAGCCGTTAGCTCATCACTCCTGAAGGAAAGAAATTATATTTGTCTGAACACTGGCAGTTCTAGGGGTGGAGTCACTGGACTATTGGCCTTTGCTGAAATCTGACTGGGTCCCTGAAGTGCCTCACTCATCTATCCAATGATCAGATTAGATCAATTTGGATGCAATTCCAAGTCCGGTCCAAACACTAATGGTGCTAATGGGCCAAATAGGAATTTCCAGCGTGAAATCCTGTGTAAAAATGTTGGACTAAAACTTGGCCCCTCTATAAATATAGTGGTCCCTTGATAGCCCCATTCTCAGAAAAATCCTCAATCTGCCACTGTCTGAGCTGTGTCCATTCAAGAAACCAATGCTGGTGAGCTAGCATGTTTCAAAATGGCCAAAATATCCCCTTTTCTTTAGCACAAAGGTTTACTGAATGTGTCGGACATGGCCCGCCACACGGTAAAAGCTTTACCTGATGAGTTTTTAATCTACCTGTTGGTTGCACCATGACTTTGTGTTCCTTTAAGAAACAGCAATGCTCCATTGTCTTCTATGTGCTATGTTGCCTTTGAATCCTCATTTTTCATTCATTTTGTTCTTACTCCAAAATGAGCACGTTTGACAAATATAACCAAAAACTCAAGTGTACTTATGTTTCTTAACGTTTTTTTTTTTTACTTCCAACAGCACTCAAATGCTGCAACACTGGTTTTTCATGAGCCTCTGGAGGAACACGTGAAGGCAGCATCACCGCTTGCAAAAGCAGCAGAACTTTGCTATGTGGATGTGGGGGATGGGAGGTCTGCTCTGTCCTCTCCCAATACAGAGCTTTCTGCCCATACTTCTCACTGTCAGGGGCAAATGCTCATCTTTTCTATAGTGAGATTTGTTGAAAGATGAAGTAAAAACATCTAAATGTATTTTAAAGCTGCAAACACAGCTGTATGTTTAGTGAAGGAGAGAATGCAGGGTGGAGGGGGTCAGCGCAGCTGCTGTCTGCTTATATAGGCTAGGGAGGAGTGTGTGTTAGCAGATATAAAGACAGGAGGGGGTAGGGAGCTTCTTTTCCTTTTTAGCATAAACTTGCTGTTTATTATCAGTGGGTGCAGTCTCCGTCGCTCTCTCTGTCTTTGGGTTTTGAAAAATGAGCAGCAAAATCAACTCTTTGCTTTCTGTTTCCCAGTTTTTTTTTAAATAAAACTCTTCTATTTTCTGCACTCACCTTGAACAAAATATTATTTTCAGTTGTCTGCATAGCTTTCTTTAGCTGCAAGGTGACTTAAAAGTGTCACATTCATGTGCTAAATCTCTGTGGGAGAGAGACAGCATGATACTAAAGACCTCCTGTGTGATGGAGTGTCGTGTATTTATGTATTGTTGTTTTACAAGGATAATGTGTGTTTCAGACCACAAGTCTTCCTGTCCGGAATTTCTCAGCAGGAGCATGAAGACTTATTCTGATGTGTTGATGCTGCTCCTGATGTTATTTTCTTTCCAAACATACACGGATGTAGAATGACTTTATGAAAAAACATTTCTTTCCTGTAATAGTCACATTTGTTCACTCTTCTCGCATAATGTTGTAGTTTTCAGCTATATATGTGGGTTTTGACTTAATTAATTTACAGGTGTGGCCAGGTGGTTTAGCTTGGACCACTGATTGTGTGTTTTGAGAAGTGGAGGAAGGCACGAGGGAGTCATGTGACAGCCCTACCTCCCCCTATGCCCCTATCTGTCCCAGGATGATGATTTAAGAGTGTTTACATGTGGCTCGCCACCGCCTCCCTGAGAGAACGGCTGTGATGCATCACCTTCAGCTCTGGTGCCACAGCTTCCAGGGCCATCACCACGGCAGCCGCTGGGACTCCATCCAGCTGCCCCCTTTTAGTGTGAGGCATTGATCAGAAGAAGGCAAAATGACAATGAGAGACCATCATTTGTTTTCAAATCTAGACTAAAAAACTAAAGAAAAACTTGCAGAATTGTGGCAATATTCTTCGACCCTTTGATATTCTCTATCGTAATTACTCGGCTAAATCAATCACAATTTTGCCTGGAACATAATGTCACTCTTGCTCAGCTAATTTGTGACTTATCTTTCAGGATTTTAATTTTAATCCCTTTGGGATCCAGTCTGGGAATGAAGCCACCCGATCGCCCAGACAACCCAGCAATGCGGCGTGGAATTCCCTAACAAGAGAGAGTTGAATCTCGACGCACATGCATGGTGCACACCCACGTGTGAAACAGCTAGACACAACCCGTACCTGATAATGACACACACAGCAAGAATTTATGACTGACAAGAGTCTGTTATTGGCTTGTGCCAAACAGGAACTGTAGCTGTCCTCTCTTTCTCTTCACACACACACACACACACACACACACACACACACACACACACACACACACACACACACACACAC